TAATTGGTAGTTATAAACTAGTCATTTTCGTTAATGCGTGATTATAACGACTCACAACCCATAATTACTCCAATGTCACCTGGGTAATCATAAACAATCGTCGTATCGGTATAACAATAAATAAGACATGTAATTCTATGTATTGGGAAAACATTGGGTTTTCCCGGGAAATCAACACTTTTAACTATGTGATGTATACAAGGTTTAACAATTATACACGCTTACAAAATCGACAAGCATACTACGGATCTCCACACTTTTTCTTATATACAATACTTGTTTCAGAAAATATCGGATTTTCTGGGTTTTCAAACTTTACAAAAATCATTATTTTTCAAACATGACTTATGAACTCACCAACATTTCATATTTTGACGTTTTTCAAAATACTTGTATTCTCAGGTAACATGTAAATCAAAGAATAGGTACCCAGTGATGTCATGGTGTTTTGTTTAAATTAGTATCGAATGGTTTAAGTTATGGAAATGTAATGTTCAAAAACAATGTACTGAATGTAAGCAATATATGTTGTTATATTTCAATGCATGGTGCTGAATGATGTTATGATTCATGTATAATCATTGTGATGGTATTCAATTGAGTCACAATAGCCCTCGGATGTTTCCGCCGTCTAGTTCGGGGGTGTGACACCTGTACCACACATAGACTCTATGATAGACACCACAACTGGTCATGAGTTACTAACATTCATGGATGCATCAGTAGGGTTCCAACAAATCCAAATGGAACCATCTGACCAAGAGGATATAACATTCATAACCCCACCAAGTCTATATTATTATACTGCCATACCATTTGGTCTTAAAAATGCAGGTGCAACATATCAAAGTCTAGTCAACAAGATGCTCAAAGAAAAACTAGGGGACACCATGGAATTATACGTTGATGATATGTTGGTCAAGTCGAAGAAAGATAAAGAGCATCTCAAGGATCTTGAATAAGCCTTCGACATATTGGATGAATATAACATGAAGTTGAACCCCTTCAAGTGTCACTTTGGAATGAGATCAGGCAAGTTCCTCGGGTACATGGTGACCAAAAGAGGAATTCAAGCAAGTCCTGAAAAAATCAAAGAAATCATTGATCTAAGATCCCCATCCTCGACAAAGGATATCCAAAGACTAACAAGAAGAGTGGCAGCCTTAAACATGTTCATCTCAAGATCCTTAGAAATATGCAAACCTTTCTATGCCATCTTGAAGAAAAATAAAAGGTTCGAGTGGACTAAGGAGCACGAACACGCTTCCAGGAACATAAAAGATACCTAAGTTCAACACCCCTATTGGTAAAACCATTATAGGGGGAACCACTTCTTCTCTATATTTCAGTATCCTCAAACATGGTGAGTGCTATCTTAGCAAAGGATCTTAACAGGGACCAACATCCCATATACTATGTAAGTAAAAGTCTCTTGGATCCTCAGACCAAGTACTCTCACCTTGAAAAAATTATACTTGCACTAGTAACTACTTCCACAAAATTAAGACACTACTTTGAAACACATCCTATAAACGTAAGAACTAGTTATCATATTAAAAATGTTATGAGAAAACCAGAAATGTCAGGAAGGATGACAAAGTGGTTCGTGAAGCTAAGCATATACGACATCAAGTATGAGCCAATATCTGTGATAAAATCCCAAGAACTGGCGGACTTTATGGCTAACTTTAATAATGATCTACAAGCTAAAGTAGAAATAGAAACTAAACGATTCTTAGAAGAAGAAAACACATGAAGATGGACACTATTCACAGATGGATCATCAAACCAAAGAGGAAATAGACTAGGGATGACACTAAAGTCACCACAGGGGGGCATCCTACCCTAGGCATTTAATAGTGAGTTCGATACAACCAACAACAAGGCTGAACACGAGGAACTAATCATGGGGATACATCTAGCCAGTGATCTTCAAATCAATGATCTTCAGGTACATGTCGAATCTTTATTAATAACTAACCATTTTAATGGATCCTATGCTGTAAAAGGAGAAAGACTAACATTATACCTCCAGATCCTTAAAACTTTAGCCTCTGAATTCGAAGCATTCAGCCTAAACCAAGTTCCTAGAGAAGACAATGCTAAAGATGATGCTTTAGCTAACCTATGATCTTCTCTTAGGACCCCATCAGAAATCAGGATCCCGATAATCCACGTGATAATCCCAACAATCAAGGATCCTGCCAAAAGACCTAGGAATATCGACGATGACGAGGTAATAACCAGCGTCGCAACAATCGAGGATCCTGATCCTCAACGTCCTCATCAGGATTCTAGCATCAAGGATCATTCCCCAACCTCAAGATCCTGGATTCAACCTATTGTGGAATATATCCCAAATTGTACCATCCCGAAGGAAGAAAAAACTGACAAGTCATTCAAAATGAGGGTCTCACGTTTTGTGATGATCCGAGGTAAGCTATACAGGAAATCCATGGCAGGTCCATACCTAGATGCCTAGAAGATCACGAGGTTGCGGAAGTCCTAAAACACATACATGAAGGAGATTGTGGTAACCACACTGAGGGAAGATCCTTATGCTCCAAGGTGTTAAGGACGGGATACTATTGGCCAACCTTGAAGAAAGATTCCTTCTTGTACGCTCAAAGATTTGATGCTCGTCAAAAACATAGCAACATCCTACACCAACCAGCAGAACCTTTACATCCTATCATCTCCCATTGGCCATTCATGAAGTGGGGCATGGATATAGTAGGAAATTACCTAAGGCACCAAGAGGAAATGTCTTCATGTTGGTAATGACAAACTATTTCTCGAAGTGGATTGAGGCTGAGACTTTTGTTCAAGTAAGAGATAAGGAGGTGGTGTCGTTTATCAAACATAATATCCTAACCAGGTTCGAGATCCTTGCCGAAATTATATGTGACAATGGATCCCAATTCATAAGCAAGAGGACTAGGGACTTTTACACAAGTTGGGGAATCAAAATGATAATGTCAACCCATGTTCACCCTCAAGCCAACGGTCAAGCAGAATCTAGCAACAAAACCATAATCAATAACTTGAAGAAAAGGCTAGATGAAAAGAAAGGGAGATGGGTAGAAGAACTTCCTCTCATCCTATGGGCAGAGAGGACCACTTCCAAAGTAGCTACAAGCTAAACTCCATACTCTTTGGTGTTTGAAGTAGAAGCGATGATCTCAACTAAAGTGGTGATCCTAATGGCAAGATATCTATTTCAAGATCAAGAGAACAACGATAGGATCCTAGCCCATGATCTTGATACTATCGATGACATCAATGATCTTGCCAAGATACGCATCATTGTCCATCAACAAAGAAGCACCAAAGTATACAACAAGAATATCTAAGTCAAAAGATTCCAGATAGGAGACTTGGTCTTAAGGAAAGTATTCCAAAATACCAAGGATCCTAGTGCAGATAAATTGGCACCTAAATGAGAAGGACTATATCTCATAGATGCTGAAGCAGGAAAGGGGGCATATTGGCTAGCTACCCTCGACGAAAATATCTTGCCAAGATCCTGGAATGTTATACATCTTAAAGCTTATTTAATGTAAGTGAGATTAGTCATTTTCCCTCAAGGTACACACACTCTTTACCTTTTACCCTTTATTTTCACTATTATTACTATTTACTCTCCTGAAAACCATTACTAACTTAAGCATCGGAGGGTTGTTAGCCAAGCTAACGCCCACCCCAAGCTAACATTTGTTATGCATAAGAACACAAGGATCTTGATACTCAAGGATTTTGACACACGAGGATCTCGACACTCAAAGATCCAAGGATCTTGATATTTAAGTTTTAAGCAAAAAATAAGAATCTTATCAAAATAGTCATAATTTTTATAGATACATCCGCGAGAATCATCAAAATGATACTAATTTGATGATTTTTACAGTTGAGTATGACATTTTCACAGATGTCATCTGTGAAAATATGAGACTCGTAATTTTCAGATATAAAAACTTTATTTTCATTTTTTTACTTCATTTTAAAAAACAAATCCCAAAATTCTCTAAACTCTCGACTCTCTTAAACCTTAACTTTCAACTCACTCTAATCTATAAAACATCGAATTCGTTTCATAGATCAAAATTTAAGGTTATTGTTTTAATTTTTAGTAGTATATTCAATAAAAATAAGTAACTATGAAAATATGCATCTCTATCATTCTTTTATTGAGAAAATCACATTTAAAATGTGCATGTTAATCATTATTTTATTGTAAATAACAATTTCGCATATGAAAAATATGATTTTTTTTTCGATAAAATAATTATTGAGATGCATAGATGACATCTACGAAAATGCGTATTTATGTCTAATTTTTTACCAACAAAATCAATGTTCGTAGATTATAGATATTGTTTTTGGGTTTATGAAAATAGCTAATGTAATATTATTTTTGTCGAATGTTTTAGAAATTTTTTTTTGTTAGCAAACTAAGAAAATATTGTTAATGGTTATCCGATGTGGTTTGAGAAAAATAATTACAAGAGGCTTCTACTTAGATGTGGCAAAGACAATAAAGATATTGGTTGTCATTTTAATCAATAAAAATCATATTCACTAGTATTTTAAAATCAAAATAAAAAGTTGGTTTTCTTAATAAATACAATTAAAAGTTGAATGACCAAAATATCAAATTTTGTGTTATTGGTTGTCATTTTAAGAAATTTTCCGTTTATTTAAAGGGTTAATTGCAAAAAACTAAAAGACGTAAAAGTTTTTTTTTTTTTTTTCATCTCGTTTTCGGGTCACCTTCGTAATACATTTTTTTTCTCGAAAAGAAGCTCATTTTTTTGAAAAAGCCCTCACTTTTTTTCCAAACCCCCCCCCCCCCCCCCCCCACATTTGACAAACTTTTTTCGTTTGAACCAACCTTTACGTTAACTACAATATTCTTGTTTTTGTTACTGGTTAGGGTATTCTTGATGGAGGAAAATGTGGTTTAACTGTATATGTGCTTGCTACCATGAGAAAGATAGATGCTTTATTGTATCTATGAAACCCCATAAAAGTGTATATATCATATATGATGAAGTTCTCGTGAATCACATCATGACAGGGCACACGCTTTTCATGTAGAAGACTTAATTTTGCATGTTTTTTTTACCAGAGTTCCATCACGAAGTGTTCCACTACACCTATGGCTCAACTAAGTAACTTAACTCACCACAGGGATTCTCTCTACAGATGTTGCTCATCCTATTATCTTATATATGATTTATCATGTATACCTATGTATAGAAAACATGCCTAAGTCAAAAGTCAAACGACTTAGTGGCTATCAAATTTTATGCATAGACTTAACATCTTTTCTTCTCGTGTGAATTTGGAAAGTATTCCCATGCTCCCACTCGTCCCTTCCATCCAAAAACATGGATGGAACAAGGAATCATTCGTTATCCATCTCTTGTCTGCACAAAAGACGTAAATGTCCTCCTCATCATCGCTGAAAATATCCTTAATTCAAGTGAAAAAAAAAACACCCAAAACTGGACCAAAAGAAGACAATTTTGCATACAGTACCTGATGAGGGGTTGAAGAAATCACTTAAAAACAATTAACTAATGTCTACGTTGAAGAGCCATGATTGCAGTTTGAAGCAACTCTCTGGCTTTCCTATCCGGTGAGCATCCAGCAGACTCCATATCCCTATATATTATACCTACCTGCCATTCACCCACCTAACATTATTTATGCAATTCCATCTACACTAGGATGATGAATGAAGTATATGAGTGTTTTTGTACCTTGTCAAACTCCTTTGCCCTTAGAAAAGCCTTCATAAGTGTCGTGTACGTAACCACATCTGGACTTGCACCCTTCAGGAGAAATTTACATTACAATTACCATTAACAGCTTCAGTTTAAGATGTATCATCAGAGTTTTAATACACAAAAACGGCTTACGCTTTCTTTTATGTGTTGATACACTGAGAGTGCCTCCATATGTCTTCCAGCAATACCAAATGCATTTATCAAAACATTCAGCATAATAAGGTTTGGTTCGATTCCTTCACGTTCCATCAACTGGAGAACTTTAACTGTTTGCTCACATAAACCCTGTGTGTGTGTAAGAAGGAAGATTGCAAAGCAAACAAAATTTTAAAATCAAGAATATTAAACCAATCGAAAAATCTACAAATAGAATAATAGCTTGCCTGTTGGGCATAGGCGTTTGCAAGCACACAGAATATTCTAGCTGAGAGAGGAACTCCTTCGAGTTTTAGTGTATTTATGCACTCCTCTGCATCCTCGAAGCTTCCATATTGCCCATAAATATCAACCAAAACAGCATAAATGGTCCCACTTTGTCCATGACCTCCATCTTTCATTTGCTCAAAGTTTTTCTTTATAATATCCCACTTCCCCTGTTCTCCTAAGCGACTAATGATGGTAATGAAGATACTTGGATCAGGATACAGCCCTTGTGTTTGCATCTCGCTGAACAATACAAGGGCATTTGTGAGATCACCATGTTTGCAATGCCACCTGATCAAAGAATTCCATGTGGTGATATCTGGTGTAATCCCTTCTTGCTGCATTTGATCAAACACTTGCAATGCATCTCCTAGTTCACCGGATTTCCCAAAGGTGTCAATCATACTATTAAACATCTTCTTGTCAAGTGGGACTCCATTTTCCCTTACTTCTGCTATGAGGTTTATAGCTTTCTTCCACATTCCATTGTTCCTGTAAAGTTCAATAATCATACTGTATACAAAGGAATTCGGTTCAAACCCATCTTTCTTCATTTTGGCTACAACTTCCCACGTGTCTTTCAAACGTCCGGCACTAACATAATAACCAAGGAGAATCTCGTATGTTTCTCGGTTTTTCCACACGCCCATAGCGTTCATGGACTCCATAAGTTTATCAGCAAGTGTAAGAAGACCTCTTCTTAAAAACACTTTCAGCAAGAGATTATACACTTCTATTCTTGGTTGAAACCCTGAGCTTACCATTTCTTCGAAAATTGCCTCAACTTCCAAAGTCCTGCCTACACTTACAAGAGCTGTTAACAGACAAGTGTAGGATGCATAACTTAACCGAAATCCTAGGGCTTCCATCTGAGAAAGAAAAGCCATCGCTTTATCAATATTTCCTGCTTTACATAAGCCACGTATATACCTGTTCGACAGCTCAGGCGAGAGCTCCTCGCCTGTTGTATGATCCGTTTGGCTCTCTGGAATCGGCGACTTCTCAATTGCATTAGCTAAGCACTTCACTCTCTTTGTATAATCCGCTTTGTCTTTTATTCGAGGGCAAAAAGTATTCAGAATCTGACAGTTTAGACTGCGGACTTTAAAACTTTTTGAAAGAAGGAGGAATTCGAGTGATTTAGAGTGATAAAAGACTCCAGTTGTAATGGGAAAGAAGATGGACATTGCATCTCCTCTATGTTTATGTAGCAACTTCAAGACGGAGGAAATTAGAGCTGGAAGCGGAAATCGTAATCAGGTGCAATCAGTTAACCAAATGACCTCAATTAGAATTCCATACATCTGCTATCGAGATTGCCTAGACTTCGTAGCTTTGATTCTTAGAAATTGACAGAATGCATACCACTCTCCACGTATCTTTCCCCTAAGCATATACTAGAAATTACACAGGTTAGAATATTTAGAATTTTGGATAGGATATTAACCAAATTGATTATTATTTTAGATTTTTTTTATTGATTTTGATTTATAAAATACAAATCGGATGTTCACAACAAATCAAATAACAACTTATTATTTATTTTTAACTTAATATTCATATATAATTGTATTTTCTTAAATTATTTTTTTTAATTATTAAAAACTTTATCAATGTAATACTTGATATGTAATTTTTATCAAATAATTTGTCATTGAGATATTAATTCGAATCTATTTTTCTTAATAATTATTTATAAATTATAATTTTTAACTAAATAATTTTTTTTTTTATAAAATTGACTAATATCTAAATTATATATATTTAAAATGTCTTGTCTTTTAAAAAAGAAATTGTAAAAATCGATCCAACAGAATTGTAATTTGATTGAATTGGATTTAAATTTAGTTTGAATTATTCGTATCCGCATTTTAAAAACCGAAATATATTTAGATTCACTTAATCGGATCAAATCGATCCATAAACTTACAAATAATATTTAAATAAACGTAATTTATTTCGTAATTAAAGTTTTGGTCCTTGTGGTTTTGTTGGGTACAAAGGTTTCCATGTAGTGATGACTTGAAGGCTTCACCCTTTTTATGATATATGTGAGAATTTAAGCCTTATAACTTATGGGTTGAGCTTCCCTATATATAATAGTTTAATATTTTTTGTAGGTTGAGAGAGCTCATATTTTGTATAGATGAGTAAATTGGTTTTGAGAGAGAGTATTGTATATAAGAAGCATATGCTCCTATAAGTTTTGTTCTACTCCACATTTAACTATACAATTGTGCTTAAACGTTAATTTGTTCTTGTCGATTATGCACTTCTATATTTCACAATGTCAAATCAAAGCTTCATGTCCTAACAAGTGGTATCATAGTCAAACCATGAAGATTCAAACGATTAGTTCCTGGAACGGTTCATGATTTGACTACATTCTTGTGTAATCGATTCACGATTGGATATCTTTTGGCGAGTCTCCAATTCTCTAAATCGTGTACATTTTTCTTTGAAATTCGTGCTTATAACAATTTTTGATTGAATCTATTTCGTTTCAAGCCCAGCTTGTTGATCTAATCCATTTTATTTCATTGATCTTGCACAAACTTGTGTTAAAATCATTTTGATCAAATTTAAAAGGTTGAAGCCCAATTTTGGTTTTGGTTCGATTTTAATTGATAATTCATTCAAAAGCCCATTGTATATAATTTGATGCAATCTGAGCCCAGATCACAATCCATCACTGTTCATTGGATTTGTAACATTCGATTCCAGGTATTTTCCTATTTGGTCCTTGAAGTTTGTATTTTTGCGAACATGGTCCCCCTCGTACATTAGGCGTACATTTAGGTATGCTTAGCGTACATGCACGCTTTTAGATCATGGGGTTTAGCCATGTACGTTGAGCGTATGTGGTGTACGCATGGCGTACATAACCAAAGACTAAACCCTAATTTTTAGGGCATGAGCGCTATTTAAAAAACATTATGGTCTTTGGACACTCACCCTTATCAGCCCCCACTGTTCATTCATCCCATCTAACCCTAGTTCACCCTCTTTGAGTGTTTTTGAGCTTTGAAGTCATTTTGTGGCATTTTAGTGTGCATTAAGAAGAAGGTACTTGGAGACCAAGCATTTGTTGAGGTTGAGATTCTAGATACAGAGTCTTCATCAACTTTGGAAGCTTTTGAAGGTAAAAATTTGTTACCTTGATGATTCATTTTGATTGTTAGAGTTTAGGGCTTGTTTATGAGTTTATTTGGTCCCATGGGTTCTTTTTGTGAGTTTGGGCAACTCCAGAAGTTAGAGGTGTTAGATCTCAGTCCCCTTTATGTTTTAGATGCATAAAAATGTCATCTTGATGGTTGATATAAGTCCATGCATGAATTTAAGCCCTTAATGTGAGCTTTGTTGGACAAAAATAGATATTGGGTTCCATTCAGACATGCTAAGGCATAAAGTTGCCAACTTTATATCTTAGAACCCCCATAATGGCCGAGATCTGAAGTTGGATCGAATGGCTGTAAGGATTAAGCACCAAATGGCTTAAGGTGGCAAACAGGTCAGAAGCTGAGCATACTAAGGGATACCCAACACATACTGGCAGAAGGACAAGTATGTCGAGCGTACAATGTGTACATCGAGCATACGCCTCTTAGTGGGCTTTTGGACTTCGGTTGGGCCTTAGCTAATTTTTAGGATTTGGCCTGTTTAGAGTAAGTGGGACCCAGAACTCTGTTAGTGGGCCTTATATTGCTTAAGCTGGGCGTTTTTGGGCCTTGGAGTCTATTATGGTGTTTTTGGGCCAAGGTTGGTTAAGCCCATTATAGGAAAGGTAAATAGGCCTTTATCTTAGGAGGTTGGACTTTGGATTTAAGCCCACGCCTATGGTTTATAACCTATCTCCGATTAAGGTAATTTGTGTATGTTCAATGTGGGATCTTCTGGTTCGGTAGCTAAGCGGTTAGTTATTTATCAGCGGATTGAGGTGAGTTTTCTCACTGTATCAATGGGCCGAAGGCACCAAGGCTGACCCATTATTTCTGAAATGGGGTGTTAGCTATATTTGAGATATGTGTATGAAAGACAAGGATTTGGCCCCTAACAGTTGTATGAAAGACCAGGATATAGCCCGTAGCATTTGTTTGAAAGACCAGGATCTGGCCCCTGGCAACTATATGGAAGACCGGGATTTGGCCCTCGGTAGGGAATTGCTTGTAAGACTATGGCCGGTTTGGCCCATAGCACTAGCTTATTTATTTTTGGTATTGATGGGTTTTGGTCATAAGACATCTTATGTGCTCATACAAACCCTAATGCTTGGATCTAGGTTTCTCTATTGTACATGCTTTGAATCCAAGACTATAAACCCTAATTCTAGCATGCAAGTAATCATATTAACATAAGAATGGGTTTAAGATCATACCTTTGATTGTTATGTAGCAATAACAATCCCAAATCTCCTTGAATTGACTTTGGAAGGCTTAGAGTCACATGTGTCACTCCTCTAATGGCTTACAAACACCAAGAGCAAATGGAGAAGGTATAAAGAGAGAGGAGAGAGGTTAGAATTTGTCCTTAGGACTTATTGGGAAGGGATCCACGAATTCATGTGCCAAGGGGTGTTTATATAGGTGTTCAGATAGGGTTTCAGTCATTATCCTTATCTAGTTGCTTATCCACAAAGCAACACATAATATAAGTCTTAGAAATCCCTTATCCTTTATCCTTTGGACGATTTCAAGGATATCTTATCCCTTGAATTCGTCCAACCTATATCTAGGATAACTATTACCATATATTGTAACTATCACATAATTACAATTCAGCCCCTCTAGTTTAATTAATTACACTTGATCACAAAATTAATTCCTAATTAATTATTGACCAATATTAATTAAACAAATATGATTTCTCCTTTAATATATTATTCTTATAACATATTAATAAATCATAATAACCTCTCTCTCTATATTTATTTCTCCAATCAAGTTGCTTTGGTGAAGGCAACCCAAAAGGACCATGCACCATCGAGTCAAGTACATACCAAAATAGTTATGGACTTAGACACTAATCCAACAGTCTCCCACTTGGATAAGTCTAATAACTATTCTGCGTATGACTTCAGATCCTGATCTGCAATCGTAGCTTTCCAAAGCCGCTGTCAACTCTGATCCTATCAGATACGCGTGTCCTTAGATAAGAGATCATATATTCCTCCATTCTAGATACCATATGAGATATGATTTCAAATCATTCTCTTTTTACTATATCTCGATTTCCGATTTATGACGACTGACTAATTGAACAAATCAAATTAGCCCTAGCCCGGCCGAGCATTTACGTATGTCATCACTAAACCATCGAGGGGCCCAAAGATATCACTTTTATCCCAACTTGGATAAAAGGAACGGATAAACTTTGATACAATGCTTGCTTGCACTCACTAACCAAATCACACACAACAATATGTTTTATAACACCAAGTTACTAGTGCGTTTTCATATTATCAATGTGCAACCGATTAGCAAGATACAACTCACATATCTCGGTTTCAAGAATATAAGATGTTATCGTCTCACCAATCACTCGTAATACAATTCATGAAGTGATCCAAGAGAGCGTGGGTTTAATCCAATGCTCAAATCATATTCATAAGTACTCATAAACGTTGCAGCAAACATTTGCTTATGTCTAATACTCTTCTAGACAATCCACACACCAATTCATGACAGTCTTCATTCATATCTACTTCCAACATATGAACGACTGTCGCCTGTTTGAATAATTCGATTATTCTTAATAAACTCAATTATTCTGGAAGTCAAAACATGCAAGGTGAAACACAAGAATAATACTAATCCCATATGGCCTCAAACCTTTGAGTATAAATAAAACTCCTTTTATTTATCTCCATACCGATTACTCATTATTTGTCGTTTCGGGTAATCAACTTCTTACTTGAATTATTACACTTGTCCCATGCTCCTAGCATGTACACAATGTTTACCTATGGTTCTTACTTTGTGAAATAGATCACATTGAACACATTTCCAATCATTCTCATTTCACAACTCCAAATCCTTTTTCATAAGTGAAAGAATATCAAATTCTTGCTACTTATAGAATATGCTAGATTCTAACATCCTATGCAATGATTCTTTCGTAATGTCATTGCACCAAAGTCACAAAGACTATTGTCAATGATATTACAAAGTCCTCTATCGGAGATTGTTAC